TAATGAATCCTCTCACTCTCCTGCACATCTGACCTGTACTCCGGTTCTTGTATAAATAAAATAAATCTAAAAAAAAAAAAATTAAAAAAAAAACAATGATTCTTCCTAATTCACCATGACCTTTAGAGACTACTCTGTTCCTAGTCCTCAGAACACCCATTGGTTCCATATTTTTGTTTCATGCCAAATCCATTCATTAAATGTGGGTGTCCTCAACAGAAAGATTCTCTGCTACTCAGATAGTGCAAATATTTTCACAGTTGTAGTCATACTGATGCATACTAGATCCTGGCCTTATTTTCTCCCTAAACTCTAGTACCATATATTCAGCTGCCTATTGATTTCCTGTACTGATATCTACTCATCACTTCCATAACCTCAAACCTCAGAAGTTAATTCTCATCTCATTTTTCTTAGCATCTGTTTCTGCAAGTGTGCCACCATTCTACCTGTTATCAGACCTGTTATTTTGGAACTTTGGTAACCCCATATGTTCACTAAACATCAGTTATATAATATGTTTTCTTTCCCAGAATCTTCTCATGTGCTCATCTCCATTTGTACCACCAACACCCCACTTCGGTCATGCTTTCAGCATTTGAGTTTATATAATCAGTTTCTGTAGCTATCTTAATTCAAAGAGCTACAAAGAGGAAAATGCTTTATTTTTTGCCTATTAATCAGAAGCCTTTGACTGTTCTCTCCTCCGCACTTGAAAACCTTTCAGGAATATCTTGTGGCTTTAAGTTGTTTTTCTGGTACTAGTCTTACTTTGATAATTAAGATTCATGATCACGTATTAAAAGTTCATTCCCTCTCCAGCTGAATATTAAACTCACACCTAGTACAGTGATTCTACAGTTTGATGGGCTCAGATCTAACATCCAGTCACCCTTTCTCTCCCCCTTGCTCTTCTTTTCCTGTTCCCTTCCATTCAAATGTCTCTTCTCAATGTTGTTATTTCACTGTCATCACTGGTGGCCATCAGAGCCTCTGTGTGGCAGGTGACACTTTCTTAGACAATAGTTTGTTTCCCTTGAGAGTTTTCTGTAGGGTCTCCCTATAGCCTAGTTCCCTCTCATGTGAGTTGTCTTCTGTGACTGGTCTGTTATGGTGCCAACAGAGCAAATATTGAAGAACTTGAGTGTTACATATAAGACTGACAAAAATGAATAAATGCAATAAGTTCTGGCTAGAAAGTGGATCTTCTGGCTGGAGTCCCTTCATCTCAGAAGGCTGACATCATGGTCCCTGTACCTTCAAGGTCGCTCAAGCCTAGTCATCTTAGGAGGCATCTACTGGCTCCTGAGAACAGCGGGCTGCTGATCACTGGTGTGGCACTCATCTCTTGTCCTGTCATTGCAGCTGTTTTGGCTAGTATCTGACCATTGGGATTCTCTAAGTTGATTTCCATGTCTTACGTTTATTGACGTTCATCTTCCTCTCAGAATTCTGCCCATCTTCTTGTTATCTATTCAAGTTCACAACCGCTTCTCCTATGAAACCCACATTGTTTAGTCTAGAAGACAGTGATCTTTGTGTTTTCATGATATTTGTGGCCTGAACTTCCCATTTAAACACTTTATTTCATACTGCTATGTAATAGTCAACAGGCTTTATGTGTGTATGCTGTAAACTCAAAGATATGGGCTTTATCTTTTGGAATTTTTTCTAAATGTTATCTAAACATTCTAGTAGATGATGAAACATTCAATGACTTGATTGGAGAGCAGAAAATTAGTATTTTATCACATTATACATATTTAGTCTTATGTTAAAAGAATCCTGATCCTTTTTGATAACCATAATCTGTAATAATATTGAAGAATTTGAGTGTTATATGACAAAAATGAATAAATGGAGTAAGTTGGGAGTGAAAAGCTTGTGTAAAGATAATCATTGAATCTGAGCTATTCAATCTATAACAATTTTGATAGTGTCTTAAGGTAGCTGAAGAGTCTTTTTTTTTTCCTTTGGCTCAAACATGAACATTGTAACAAAATGGTGATAAAATATTAGAATTAAATATTAAAGAATACCAGTGGGAACTCTAGCTCTTCATAAAAATGCCGCATCACCGGTATCATTTTAATAGTCACCTGCATAAAGTAGGCGATAAAAAATTATTTTTCCACATTCCTTTCCATCTTCAATGTTGTTTTGCACTTCCTGAAGTTACAAGTGGAAGAGAGGTAACATCCACAGTAGTAACAGAAGGCACCCTCATAAATCTACAGATAATACGACAAATTGAAATAGCTGCAATTAAAATATCCCAAAAGTCAATGATTCAGTGTCAAAATGTCTGTAGACAAGGTGGCTTTTATCAGAAACTTCAAGAAGGTAGCTTAAATTTTATCCCCTAGTAAAATAACTATCTCCTAGAGCTGAATAACTCTAATAATTCATTTATGAACAAATCTACCCCAAAAAGGTCCATTCAAGGTCTTATGACCTGTTGATGCTTCTGCATGACCTGCAACATTTAATGACCTGACGTGTACTAAGAAAGCTTCAGCTAGTCTCCCCAATATTTAACATTCATCTGTGGTTCAAGCTATTCCTTCTGTTTTATTCTTAAACGTCAAAATGATGTAGTGGCATCAATTTTTCACAAATATCTTATAATTTAAATCAGCATCCAATAGATTTTGCAGTATCCCTCTTTGTAATCAGAAGTGGATAGTTATTAAACATCCATCTATATTCCTTGATCATCTCTTATGTGTCTGACTCAGCCTCAAAAGCAAAACTAAAAACATAGATGGCCTCACTTCACAGTTACACTATGCAGGAAAGAGACGTTACAGAGTCATGGTGTGCTACATGATTATTTCTACACCATATTGGTTCACCATCTTTTGTGGATGAGACAGACCCTTGAGTGTCACTTAAATGTAGTCTTGTCTGTAGTTGATTATGCAATGAATACAAAAGAGGTAGCTGCAAAATGTGGGATTAATTTTGAGAATTGGATAAAGACCTTAGAATAATAATGGTGACCATACAAGTCACCTATGAAACTGTTCGCTTATAGGTGACATTAATTTCCTATCTACAGAGTCTGATTAGTGAATGTGTTATGTTTGTACCTCCCAAGAAAATGAAATAATCATTTTCTCCTTTTTTTTTAGCAGTCTATTAAAATGTCAAGGTTTATCTTGACTGCTGCTTTTTAATGTAAATGTTTGGACTTAATTGAATTCCTAATATGCAGTGTCACTTGGAATTCTGATAGGTCCAGTAATTTGGCCTGTTAAGATATAATTCTCCTTAAAATGAAAGTCATAACAAAAATATTATTATACATAATAGCAGAAAAGTGGTCAATATAAATTATTAAGGGATTTTTATTGTAGGATCTTTACCAAAGTATTGGAAGTAAGTTCTCCTGTGTTTGCTTCCCTCCAAATACTTATTGGAATGTTTAATATGTAAAAATACCCTGTAACTATTTGTGATTGGTTAGTTGTCATGGTTGGTATTCTAGAATTATAAAAATACATTTATTCATGAACGGCAGAGATTAACCCTCTTTTTTAGAAAATAAGAACAAAAATAATCGTTTTGTATTTTCTAATGCTTTGCAAGTAGTAGGCTTTCTTTGACAAGCTGAATTGCAGGAACATGTGATGTCCAAATCTCTGATGCTTTAATTACTCACTGCATATAGGGTTCATTAAAAAATACAAAGGGTTGGATGGGTGTGTCACCCCAGCTGCATCATTTTGGCATAGAGATCTACGTGCAGAATTAGAATCTGTAACATTGACCTCAGAGTTAACTCACTTTATTCAAGGTTGAATCCCTGTGAACAGGTTTAAGTTATGATCTTCATTACAGCAGACTCAGTATTAATAGATTGAGGTGCAGTAAAGTTTTTGTCAGATGTTATGCCCTCCTTGTCTATCCCACCAAAGTATAGTTATGTTTAGAATGAAATTGTTCAATTTCTAAAAATCAAACATTTTTAAGAATATGGTGATGTAGGGGCCTCCCTGGTGGTACAGCGGGTTGGGCACAGCACTGTGAAGCTGTCCACAGCCTCTGCATCGTGGGTTTGACTCCCAGTCAGCCAAGAAGATTCCCACATTCTGCGGCAGACCTCTCCTGTCTCACCTGCTGCTTCCCCCAGCAGTGTATTTCAGTCCTTCTGCCTGTTCTGCTCCCCACTCTGTCTCTGGTGAATCCTCTCTTCCTCCCGTGCCACTGGCCTGTACCCCAGTGCTTGTATAAATAAATAAAAATCTTAAAAAAAAAAGAATGTGGCGATGTAAAGGTATTGGGTATGGAAATCTCCATTTCCTACATTTCTGACCACTAAATCTGACCATGGTATTTAAATAAGTTTTAGAGAATGAATTAAATTTATAAGTCAAAAATGAAGCTGTATCAAAGTAAAGTATAATTGGAGGTTTATCAATTTTATCATTACATATAACATCTTGCTCTTACAAGCTCATTATAATATCAATGCATATTGATATTATATGGTTAGCCACATACCCTAAATTTCATCCTATTTACCAAATCATATTACTTGTGTCTTATTTTTATATGTCAAGCTAACAGTTTCTGTTGATTTTTCCAAATTAACCACTGTGATACTGGGTTCTTAGCTCTGAAATGTGAAGAGGGAGACCATTGGACTCTCGTCACATGTTATTCTCCAAAAGATTAAATAGTATTGATTGGCTCTCAAAAATACTATATAGTAGTATAATTTAGCATGGATATTCCCCATTTATATGTTTATGTGTATGTATATGTGGTATATATGCCATATATGTGTGTATATGTGTGTGGATATACATATATGTGCATGTGCATTTATATATATTTCTCTATATACATGCTTTTGCTGCAGCTTTTTAATTAGAACACTGATGAAGTAAACCTTCCTTTTGACAAATCTGGATTAATTGAAAAGTAGGCGAGGCTGATAGCAGCAGTGTTAACTGCCATCTTTTCAGGAGTATTGATTATTCTCTCCTTTGCAGGCCCCTTCTCATTGATTGGCTGTCTCCAGGGAAGTCAAATGGCATCATTCTGGGATATGATCTCTTTTGGAAAACATGGTGTTCATGCCCCAAAACCCAGAAGTTAATGAGGGACTGTGGTGGTGAGCTCTGCCAAGTAGTCACATGTCAAAAGCCTGAGACTGTCTGTGGACACAGGTGCTATTCTGAACTAAGGTAAAGCTTTTCAAACTAGTCAATGAAATACGTTTTTCTCACTACACACTCCATGTGGAATTGCTTGCTGCTTAAACCACAGTTTATCATAATCAATATTTCCACTAGTCTATCAAGAAGACCCCATGGGGGAAAAAGGATGCTTATCAAAATTTTATCATCCACATGAGCATTTTGGCCTCCTCATTTTTCATTATCTTCCTAGAAAATATTAATTTACTGGATTGATAAGGAACCTCCCAAATTTGTATTTGATCAAGTGACCTGAATTTTCTTTATAACAAATCCATTCAGCCACAAGTGGGTGTTTGTTTACATGACACTGAAGAGAAACTGTGAACGGTGCTTTTCATGGTTTGTCAGAAATATTTTTAAATTATGGCTATTTGCAGATTAATGTTCATATTAGTTGCAGTTTAGGAATCAGATCAATAATACAGCTAGATGGGGGAGTTTGTAAATGGCTTTTATTGACAAATGATGCAGAAAATCCTTAGTTTGAAAGTAGGATTTCATATAATGAAATAATGTGCCTATTTGTCAACAGCATCACACATTTAATGACTAACGCTACTACTAAATTCAAAAGATTCACTGCAAAAGGACACAGTAATTAAGAAAGTGAGTTGTTGAAGAGGTATGGATCAAATACAAATTATTATGGCTGACACTGACTTAGCATAGTTATCATGTAAGAAATGTCATAAAACTAGCAGTTACTAACCATATATTTTTTTGACACTTAGGGTGCATAATTGTCATTATGGCTATGTTTTACATCATTTTAGGCATAAAATGTGCACTGTCCTAAGAACATATTTTCACTAAATGAAATTAAATTTAGGATTTCTGCAAAGAAAAATGCTGGAATAAATTTGCCCATTAAAAATGTTCTCCAGGAGAAGGAAGTAAGCATTGATACCTTAAACTAAGTCTTGGTTTCATTTTGAGGATTAAAGACATACTCTAGTATTGTCAGTGAAAAGAATACACAAATTAACTAAAATCTCAAGAATAAAAGTTATTTGTAAATTTCTGTTTGGGGTTAAATGAATATATTTCCTAGAGCAACAGCTTGGAAAGATGTAGAAAAGTCTAAGATTCTCTTGACTGAATCACTATAAACATCAAAGGACCCAAAATACTCATACAATCTTTACCGAGTGATTTGCAAACAGCTAGAAGCAAACCTGCAGTTAACACAAGTCCCACCTCCAGGGACTCGTAAGTCTGCGGTGGGGCATGAGAATTTGCATTTTTAAGGTGTGACCACCTTAGAAGCCTCTGATTCTGGTCCAGGGACCACACTTTAAGAATCATCATTTGAAAAATTGCTTTTGGAAACCATAAAGTAAGGTGAAATCTTGAAAATGTGAAAATCAGATGCATAAACTTTTGAGTTCAAGATATTGAAACTTCTATTTATTTTTCCTGAGACAACTGGAAGACTGAATCAGAAAATAAAGATATACTATTTAGAGGGACACCTCCCAAGAAAAACAATTGCTTGACAATGTCCCCCTGGGGACCCAACAATGAATTGAACCAGAGTGGATTAGAAGAAAGGCTGAGAGGTCCCAAAAATGGCATTATCAATGAGAGGATGGAAGTGAACAGGTCCCATCATGAAATATTCAATCATCATTTCAAGAGAGAATGAAAAGTACTAGAGATGCTTCCTGAAGGGCAAAGCCCAGTGTGCTTTCTAGAAACATACTGTATATGAATGGACTTTAATAAATGCTTTAAGATCATGCCACCAAGGCAAGAGTTGAGGTTATAAATCAAAAGGGAGGTATGTGTTTTTTCAGCCTGAAAGCAAAAAATGACCAGCATTCCTAAATCCCAGACACATATATAAAAATATGTTCTACTTAACTCTTAAAAATAGGTCATAATTTCAAAGTTTGCTTTTCACACAGAACAAGACATCAAGAGGAGAGGTGTCAACCCATATCCTTGCAATTAGAATCCCTTTGAATCTTCGATGCTTAACTAAACACAACAGAAAAATCCATTGCAATTGGTTTAGTGAGACTACATGAAGAATCACAGAGATCAGCTTTGATATTGAGTCCAGTTTCTTGGGTCTTCGATAACATTTGATACATGAATGAGATACTGAGTGAATTTTTTGAAGACTTTGGAGCACCACATTATACTTGAGCTTGATTGTTATGTTCATGTAGACTGGAAATAACTATTAGCAAAAAGGAAAAAGAGAAACACCTTTAGATAATGGTTGATTTTACCTGCCACAGAAAGCAGTTTTCCAACTTAAACCAAGTCTAGGTTCTGAGGCTTCATTTCAGCCATTAGTCCCTGCTTGGTTTGTTATATATACAAAGTGCTAGTCTCTCAGACCTCAAGTAAGCATGCAAGTAATTATTTGATTGTTCAAGCACATAATTTCTTCTAGAGCTCCTGTAGAAAGCACACTGTTCAAGGGATTTTCAAACTTCATTTCCATATATAAATTTGTAATAATATATAGATTTTAATTTATCTATATAGTATATCTATATCTAGCCATATATATATGTATATATGATGAGGTTCATAAATAAGTAAATAAGTGATCATATAAATTATAAGGAAAATGCAATTCATACCTCTAAAATTAAGGAGAGACAAGTTTCCACAGATATGGTGTTTTCAAATTGAAGAGTCAATAAAAATGAAAACATATATATGAAGGAAATTGTTCATTTACAATTCTAAATCATCATTACATAGGAAACACTGACATTCATATTTGTAGTGTTTTTATAATAGAGCACAAAGTGTGGTTAAAGGCTAAAAAGAAGCTACATTATATCAAATTACATTTATACAATTTGAATGATACTGGAAAAACATTTTTTAAAGCTTTTAATTTTATCAAGAATGCTATATTTGACCTCAAGTCAAGGCTTTATTATAAAAAATTATATCATATGGCATATGATGATATATACCTTTTTTCCCAATTTTACAGTGAACAATTGACTTATGTCTCTGTAAGTTTAATACATACACATAATGGTTCAATTCACATCTATTGTGAAATGGTTACCATGATAGATCAGCTAACATCCATCCTCTATTATAGATACAAAAAAAAAAAGATAGAAGAAAAGAAAAAAGGAAATGATTTTCGCCTTGTAATGAGAATTCTTAGCATTTACTCTCATCTGTTTTCCTACATATGAGATGGCAGGCAGTGTTAACTATTATCATTTTGTAAATTACACTCCTAGTACTTATTAATCTAGTAACTGGAAGTTTGTGTCTTTTCACCACTTTCTCCCATTCTCCCTCTCCCTATCCTCTTCTTATTTTTTTTTAAGATTTATTTATTTATTTATACATGCACTGGGTACAGTCAGAAGCGTGGGAAGGTGAGAGAATTCACCAGAGCCAGAGCGGGAGCAGAACAGGCAGAAGGACCGAAGCACACTGCTGAGGGGAGCAGCGGGCAGCAGGAGAGGTCTGCGCGCCATGTGGGACCCTCCTCCGGTGGCGGGGAGCAGCTGGGGAGGCTGCAGAGGCTGCAGGCAGCTTCGCAACCCAGCGCTCAACCGCTGCACCAACGGGGAGGCCCCCTATCCTCTTCCTAACAATAGATCTGATCTCTTTTTCTATTTTTAGATTTTTCTTTTACTTTTTTTGTATTACACATGTAAGTGAGAATACACTGTATTTTTCTCTCTGTGTCTGATGTATTTCACAAACATTCACCACAGCTTCTTTATCATTTCATGTATCAGTGGACACGTTGGTCGTTTCCATGTCATGACTTTTATAGAAAATGCTACTATGAACATGGGAGCACAGATATCTTCTGAGTTAGTATTTTCATTTCCTCTGATTGAATTACTAAACCATCTGGAAGTTCTGTTTTTAATATTGAGGGTCCTCCATTCTGTTTTCCATAGAGGTCATAACAATTTATAGTCCCACCTATATGACATTCCTTTTTTCCACATCTTTTCCAGCAATTGTTATTTTTTTTTTTTTAGTTATTATTCCATGATCTCATTGTGGTTTTAATTTACATTTCCCTAAATAACATTGAGTACCATCATTTCATGTACCTGTTGACCATTCTTATATCTTCTTGGGAGATGGGATGTGATTCTCTTTATTAAACTTCTATTTCATTAAACCAATTTCCAACTTTCAGCTTTGTTGTAATGGAGATCTCTATGACTCCCAATCTGGATGCCACTGTTGTGAAGACAAGTATATCCCATTTGTTTCTAAATCACCTGGATCTTGTGGTGGTGGCCAAATACAAGAGGCACAGCCAAATCATCACTGTTGCTCTGCGTATTATATTAGAAACCTACCAGGTAAGGATTATCCCCAGCTGTACTCAGTAATCTTGGGAACCAGAAAAAGCAAAGACATGTCTCATGTGAATTAACTATTTCAAGTCCAAGAAAAATAGAACCTCAAATAGATAATGAATGGTCAGCTCTAAGTATTACTTCTTTTTTCAGCTTTGTTGGAATTTAAGCAGGCTAGGTAAAAAATAGAGAGTGAATACAGGGATTTGTGATATCTGCTACATAAAGAAATATATCTGGATGTCTGCATAACCCACTTTATCTTATTCACATGACTAACATTTTCATTGTGAATTCTGTATTTCTAAGTATTTCACTCCATGAGACTATTCTCCATTTCTTCAATTTCTATTCTGAATGGATTATAGCCACAAATTCCATTTATCTGAGATTAGTCCACTGTTGGAATCCACTAATTGCTCTTAGGTCCAGGAGGAGGGACACAGCAAAGAATAGCAAATAGAAAATTTCTCTCCTCATCTTTATTTTCTTTCTATCAACCAACTGAATAAGACATTTTTCCATTTCAGCCACACGCAACAATATCCAACAAAAGTAATTGACAAAAAAGATAACCACTGGCATATATAAAACACCAAGTTTCTGTCAGGGTAAATATTAAAAGTTTTACTTATACTGCTTTGTTTATCTTCACAGGTGTAGGAGATGGTATTTTAAGTTTACAGATAAGGAAATAGGTTCAGAGAGGATAGTCACAACTTACCCAGATTCACATAGATGGGAGCAAGAGAGTCGAAATGCAAATCTCAGTGTGTCTCTCCAAAACCCCAGCTCTTCTCAATGCCTATGGCTTCTTACAAAACCAAAACATGTTCACATCATTTTTATATTTTTAAAAATTCAATTTCTTTTTAATTTATTTGTTGTTACTGAAATGTCATTATTTCATATCCCTTGCTAATGTTTTGATAGTATAGGGTTACCCCCATCAAGTATAGTCACAACCAGAGCACCCATTATCCTCCACCTTAGATCATGTGCTCTCCCCCATTCTCCTGTTTTCACCGCTCTTTCTCTCTGCCCTCCAAAAGCCAAAGATCTATGGTCGGTGTTCAAAGGTTGGTTTTACAGTTTGTCTTTGACCTTTTGATTTCTCTATATCCCACCTATTAGTGATACCATCTGGTATTTATCTTTCTCCTTCTGACTTACTTCATTTAGTATAAGCCCTCCCAGCTCCATCCATGTTGCTCCAAGTGGTATGAGTTTATCTTTTTAGATGAATGAGGCATATTCCCTTGTCTTTATGTACCACATCTCTTGATCCACTCATCTTCAGTATTCAGTATGGCTGTCACTAATAGTGCTGCTATAAATGTGGGAGTACAGATTTCCTTTCAAGCTAGTGTTTTTGAATTTTGGGGGGTAGATAGTGGGATTGCTGGGTCATATGGCAGATCCTCCATATTGCTTTCCATAAGAGCTGAACCAGTGTATCAAAGGTCAAAGAAAAACTGTAAGATGGTGCCTTTTTCTCCATGTCCTCACCTACATTTGTTATTTCTGGTCTTGGATTATTCCAGACTTCTAAGTGTCTTCATTACTGCCACTGTCTATTACTCCTTATCCTGGAAAAGTTATTGAGAATACTAATTATTTTTTCCTACCACCTAAGTTTAATGCTTGTACCTGTTTTAAAAGTATAGAATAAAGATATGGGAGAAAGAAAAGAAAGTTAAGTACTCAAATGCCTGAAGAAAGCTGATGCTTTGAGATAACTAATTTACCAAGAAATCTGTGCCAAATATCTTGTTCAGTCAGTTATTGTTCAGTACATCTTTGGGTTTCATGTGAAATGAGAAATGGTCTCACCCAGTATCTCCTTTGCAAAACACTTGAGCAGAAAATGAAGGTGAAATGACTAATGCTCTAAGTTTATTCAAGGTGGAGATCCTCTCTTTTTTTCTAATTTTCCCTTAAAATTAGTAGAAAAGTCTGTCTTTACAACAGGAGTGTGCTTTTTGATTCTCACACAAAAATACTTTCATAATTGAGTAACTCTTATTCAAATCAATTTTCCACATAAGAAAACACATGGTGAAAATAAAAATAATGATTTTGTAGACAAGTATTGACTTCTTTGTACAAAAATATTAGAGTGTTAACAACTCATCAAATGCTGTTAAATGCATTACTCTCAAATAATTTACATTTTAGGAGGTTTTAACCTTATTTTATCTTTTCCTAGCCCTGCAAAAAAACATTGCTTTAAAAATAATAATTTCACAGATGAGATGGAAAATTTCTTTTGTTGCAGTCTTACTATTCTTCACAGCAACAGACCATACTAGACTTCTCTGTTTCTCTGACATTGGACCAAATAATAGTGTCTTAATTTCTAAATTTCTTAAAAAATTTTCATGTTATGATTTGCAATGAACTATTTAAACTCTGAAAAATATCCTCTATCCCTTAAAATTAATGAAAATACTTGGCTGCATCTAACACATCTATTAACTTTAGAAATATTTGCTTGTAACAGTTAATGACAATACAAAGTATCAGATTTTGATCTTAACAGTCTACTTTTTTCTAATTTCATTTTACATTTTTTCCTAAAAAAATGAGATCAACCTTGGAGACTCAAAGGTATACAAAATTTTTAACTAAGTAGCTTTTACAAGAGAAGTTTTTAAGCTTTCCATGACTTCCATATTAAAACTATATAACTCAGGCCTCAAGCATTTTAATATCTACCTAACTGTTGAGCATGCCCACTTTCAGACTCCTTTGAGGTAGTTCATTTTAAAGTTTTGTAATGCCTCCTATGGAGTCAGGGAGAAAAAATGTAATCTCATGCCTTTTGTGATTTGCTAGTCTTTCATCTCCAAGCACCTAGATGAAGAATTTGTGTTGGGATCTCTGTCTTCAGCCCTGGTCTTTGTTAGCAAACTTAACACCATTTACATGAAGAAAGTGTAGTGACCCCATCCTCTGTCAAAATGTAATTAACATTCAATAGCTGTGGTCCAGTGCACCACTAAAGTGAGTATAGATAGGTCTGAAATACTGGTTAATAATATTTACTTTATTTTTTCTCAGAACTCCCTAACACCCCAAACAAAGAGCTACAGAGAAAAGAATGCTCATTCCATCCCCCTTTCTATATGAATATGCTAATGACCTCAAGCTAAATGTTAATGCAGGTCATTCTTTGATAAGAATAACAATTAACTGTTAAGACTGCATTGTAGCTTTTAGAGAGAAAACATTTTCAAGCCTGTCTGAAATAGATTCATTTTAAGAGGTTAATGAGAAGGTGACTGATCCTTGTATCTTATGTCTAATAGCCCTTTTTTGAGGGAAAAAATCAGTTTTACTTCTCATTGATATAATCCACATCCTTTTTATGGAGGCTTTTCTTCTGTCAGCAGCTGAATGAGATTCTGAGGGATTCAGGGAAATATGCTAAAATATTTAAACCAATTAACATTTGTGATAGACAAAAGTGGCTTTCTCAAAAAATGGTTAGTTCTCCCTGTAAAAAGGTGTCCACTATTTTCCTCAAAGCTAACAGTTGTCCCAAGTGACATTTAGTTAACAGAAGTTGCCCCTGGATGTGGCACAGGATGTTGATAGGGATAGGTACTGCATGGACTGAAGGAAAAGGAAAGGCTGAGACACGGGACAGTGATTTTTAACAATACAGGGAAAGAACAAACAAAACATCTCTCAGAAAAACAGAGTGTGTTGCTAAAATGTTGCTGAGCTAGCCACCACCTAGAGTAAAATAGGGTTACAGGATAATTGGGGAACAGAAAAACAAGCACCACGAAACTCCCCAACCACCTAGTACCTAATCAGTAGTCGGCACATTGGGCAACAGGAAATCTGACAGGCTATAGTCATGGGCAGGCTGGAATAAACTGGCATCCTCCCTTGGACCCCCTCCTGCTGTCAGTTCTTTCCTCTTGCTTCAATAAATTCACACTTGCTTGCTCTCACATTTGATATGGCAGCTGTTATTCCTCAACCATTGTACACACCCAGAAAAGTTTGCCAATAAGAGGCACTGCATTCTCTGTGGAGATTAAAGAAATAAGGGTGGTAGTTGCATTTCAGAATAAACAGAAAAATCCCTTCACCAATAGGAAAGTAAATGCAATGACTTTACTATTCATTTGTAAGCCTATTTCTCCTTCACTGGCTCTGGTAAAATCATCGGGAAAAAATCACTAAGTCCCCTTCTACTTACAGATACCAAACTTCCCCAATTTTAGCATCAATCAACAGTTGCCCCTATACAGCATTGTAGGAATTCAGTTCTTGAGAGAAAATTGAGTATGCCTTGCCCATACGGGTATTTTCCCTCAAGAAATGAAAACTTCTGTTTACATAAAACTTGCAGGCAAATATTTGCAGCAGCTCTATTCCTCATGGTAGCAAACTGGAAATAGCTGAAATGTATCTCAGAGGTAAATGGACACATGGTACATCCACATGAAGGAATACTACTCAACAATGAAAAGGAACAAACTCTTGCCACATACCAAAAATGTGAACACAATGCTGAGTGAAAGAATCCAGTCTCCAAAGCTTACAAATGGTGAGAATCCATGTATAAAATACAGGATTGTGATGAAGAGCAAGTCAGTGAGTGCCAAGGCTGTTGGGTGGGAGGAGACAGTGACTATCAGGGTAGTGTTTTGGCGCTCAGACCTAATTTCTATATGGAGTGTGTGGTGGTTATTCCTGAATACCAGCAAAGTGCCTGACATTGTCTACTTGTAGATAGCAGAAGATTCCATAGGTTAAGGATTCAATACTTAAGACTTCACTTCAAATGCCTGATTAGCTGGCTGCAAATCAGAAGTTGACCAATTGCCCTCCTCAGTTTCAAATGATGTACTAGAGAGACTCACAGGACTCAGTAAAGCTGTTTACTCACTATATCACCTATTTAATACAAAGGATAGTATTCAGGCGCAGTCAGTTGGAGGAGATACATAGATCAAGAAAAGAACAGGAAACTTCCATGCCCAAATCTCATGTTTACCAAACTGAAAGCATTCTAGAATCTTCCATTTGGTGTTTTTATGGAGTCTTCATTGCTTAGGCATGATAGGTTAACTCAGGTCAATTTTGAAAAGTCAGCTTAGATAAAGAATTGTTTGGTTTTATAGAATAAAAATAATCAGTGAGGATCCTTGGTCTATAGGATCTGATTTTTTAAACTGGTTGTCCCTTTCTAGGCTCTGAAGTGGACACGCAAGCCCTTGCTGTACAGTGATTCATTGGAAACCATCTTCTGTCACTTAAAGGATGTTCATTCTTACCCTTTACTCATCTGCTCATAATGACTATGCAGCTTTTCTTCTACTTGCACATAAACAATTGGGCAAGCTTTGGAGCCCAGGAGCTCAGTGGACAACAGACATTAATCTCCTACTAATATTACCTAGTCTGAGTAACTTAATGAAGGGCAAACAACTAAAAAGTGAAGGAAATGGGATGTAAAACCTGAGACTTTGGCTCCAGAGCCCACGATCCTACCCACTAATTATCTGGTATCAAACCATCAAAACACTACATAGAGTGTTTTTTTTCTTTATTACAGTGTGATCATATAAAATATTATCTGAAATAATGAGTATAGTCTCTAAGTACGGCATTTTTGTTGTCTTCTATAACAGTTTTCAATATAATTTTAATACAGTATAGTTCCTTTATGTTCTACCAATATACCAGAAAAATATGATGTCATATGTGTGAAGTAATTATATAACACCACATTTACAAAGTAGGCCTCCTCCCAACAGATGCACTGGAATGAAATGACCAAACAGAAAAGTGTTGATTCAAGAAAGAGAAAGGCAGAGACTGAAAGTGATTTGAAATTTCAACCCTGAGACACTTTGGTTATTCCTAGTTAAGAGTATCATAAAAGTAGTAGAAATTATGGGAAATAAAGTAGACCCAATATCAATTAGATATGAAACTTGTGCAACTGCATGGAGATTTCTCTCTTTTGTGTCAGGGTCAGTTATGGATGGACCAGCCTGGGGACCTGAACAGAGAGGTTGTTCTGTCAGGATCTATTCTTGCGTATGTGTTCTCCCCTTTTTAATTGGGTTCTTTGTGTTTTGTTGTTGAGTTTGAGAAAGTAAGCATTCTCTATGTACCTGCATATTAATCCCTTATCAGCTATATGATTTACAAATATTTTCTGTCACAGGTTTCCTTTTCATAAGTTGATAATCTCTTGATACAAAACACTTTTAATTATGATGAAGTCCAATTAACTATATTATATAGGTTGCTCATCATACTCACATACCTTATAAGATATAATGAAAGGATATTGTCCAGGGAGAAAGTTATGTTTAAGAAGTGGCAGTGGAGGGAGGGGCAAAGGGTCTATAGAAGGTGCAAAAAGAGAAATAGGAAGGAGGGAGGAATAGGAAATAGGCAAGAAGGAGGAGGAAGTCAGGACTCGGGGTCATGAGGCAATCAATTCAGTAGTGGGTCATAAGCTAGAGAGGAAAGGTGACGTTAGGATTTTAGATCCACTTAAGTTGTCATTAGTCCTTCCCAAGGTATCCTTAAGGGAAGCATTTTTAATTTTTTCTCTGTCTTTTAGAGTGGTTTTTTTTTTTTTGTCTGTTGGAAGCTTCTGCATTAAAAAAAAAACTCTCACTATTAACATTTAAAATATTTAAATCCTTTGATCCCAAGGCACTAGGCAAAAGTTTCTTTTATTCTTAGCTCTTGTTTCCCAGATTATCTTGAAAAAGGGATTATGGGTGTCACTACATTAGTAAACCTCAGCATCCGCCATAGCCCAGGAAAGCACCAGTGTGCTGACTTGAATACAGTAATTTTACTTCCTCTCTCTTAATTCAACACCCTCTTGGAATATTGTTTAGTTCAATCAATATAGTTTGGTTAAAGAAACTTAAATCCATCAAGTGTTGATTTCTGAAACCACCCTACTTTCCAAAAAGAGAAAAAAAAAAAAAAGATTACACTCAATAGATGGAAAACTATTTGTCAACCAACTTAATCCTTAACTCTAGACTTATTGTTCTCGTTTATTAAGGGTCAGAGAGGAAACACTCAACATAGTCTTACCTCTAAATTAGTGTGTATGTATGTGAGTAGACACACAAGTTTATACATTTTTTTTATTTTATATATATTTTACATCATTTTTCATTTTTGCACAATGTATGCATTTTCATCATGGTTATAGTCCCCATACAATTCCCACCCCCCTTGATACACAACAGAATATTATTCAGCAATCAAAAAAGATAAACTCATGCACTTTGCAGCAACATGGATGAAACTGGAAGGGATTATGCTCAGCGAAATAAGCCAGAAAGAAAAAGAAAAATACCGGATGGTCTCACTTATAGCAGGAATTTAGAAAACCTAAATAAGGGACTAGGATGTTACTACATCTTTAACTCAAAACCCTTGAAGCTGCATTGAGATTTTGTGACTATCATACGACCATATTCTTTCCGGTAATTCTGTCAACCAGTTGGCATCTGCAAGATGACTGTGCTAAAATTCAGTTGTGAATCAAAAGCATATTTTTATATGCAATCATGCAATGGTTATTATTGCCCTAAATTGACAGGTGAAGTATGCTGTCCAGATGAACAACATAATCGGGTTTCCACTGGCATCAGCGATTCCTGCTGTGGCCGAATGCCGTTCTCCTCCTCAGGAAACCAGATTTGCTGTGCTGGGAGGCTCCACGATGGCCATCGCCAGCAGTGCTGTAGTGGACAGATTGTGAACAAAGATTTGGAGTGCTGTGGTGGAGAACAAGAGAGTGTGGTATACAGGCATCTTCCAGGTAAGGAACTCTAGTCTACCTTTCAGCAGGTGCAGAATCTGAGAAGCAGAGAGGTGGAAAATGTGCCCTAGGTATAAAACAAATAAGTAATTAAAGCTCACAGCAATTCTATCTTCTGAAACAATTAGGTACATGTGGTATAGAAAATAAAAATGTAGTCTCCTATTATTTACGTGCATGCAGTGAATTTCATAAAAACACCAAAATGCTTTCTTCTTGAATAGTGTCGTGCCCACCACAAACAAAACCAAAAACAAAAATTAACATGAATGTGTTAACTCTGAATTAAGGGAGCATTTCCTAGCAACCTAGCAAGTGCCGGCCATAATCCTAAATTGATAGCTATTACTATCATCAATTGAGTACTTACTATCTAGCAGGCTACAACCCATGATTTATATATTCTTACCTCATTTCATCTTTTTAATAATCTTAAAAGATAAGCACTATTATTATTCATATTTTTTAAAATAAGGAAACTGAGGCATGGAGATCAGACACTTGCTCGAGATTACATTGCTTGTGAGAGGTAGATTTTTGTGTCTCTGAAAGTTACACAATTTAGGGGCCCCTCCTTAAAAAAAAAGAAAACCAAATGCTGAAAACAGGACAAAATACAATAAATATTTATTTAAAAGTGAAAATAAATGTCCAAAATTACAAATCTAAAAAGAAACCTAGGATATCCCCACTAGCATAAAAGAGTATGTTTAGATTATATAGCTTCTGACATCCCTCCTTTTCCAGACATATTGAACTTATAGACATGATAAACTTTTCAAAAGACAGTGACTTTGCACTGTAATTATCTATAAAGAAAATAGATAATCCAGTCCTACTTGTCTCATGGTGAGTCAAAACATTTTTTAATTATATTAATTTTTAAAATGTGGCTTTAAGCTTCACAACTCATTGTAATATTATGTAAATGTTTAGGATTCTTGTCAAATATGCAGAAATGTCTACCCAGAGACTTTCTAAGATTTAAGGGTATTTTAATTCTTCTTGTCTTAAATACTTGTTGAATTGACAATAGTGCTAACCAGTTTTTATATATTTCTTTATTATATATCACTGAATTTCAGTTGTATATTATTCTGATGTTACTATTTTATGTATATATCAGCGAGAAGAATTTTTCCCATAGATTTCTGAGTTACTTCTCTTTCTATAATTTATATCATCATATAGAAAATTGTCAATGGATTGCTTCAATCATTGAGCTATCATTTTCTGATAATAGTTTACAACTTTGGTATGCTCTAAAATTTGTTTTGAGTTATTTTCTACTCAGGGAAGAGTCAAAGCCATCATAAGCACTGTGATTTAAAGAGATAAAGTAGATTCGTGTGGCAGAATGGTAGTGAAAAAAAAAAGGAAAGAGACATCAGAACCTGATCTAAGAAATGGAGCAGGTTACTGGCCACTAGGACAGTGGCCCTTAATTTTTTTTGGGGGGGGAGGAGGAAGCATGCAATCTCTTCCTTTGAAAGTCATGAACCCTCACTTCAAATAAAATTACATTAGCATAAAAAAATTCAAATAGAATACACACAAAAATTGGCTGCCATTTCATACACCCTTGAAATCTATCCACGAACCTCAATTTCAGAATCATTTTTTTATTTACTTCAGTGTGACCTTCCAAGATGAGGAAACATTTCTTAAGCACATTCAGGCATTCCTCAGCGCCTGTGAGTCGGATCAGCTCCACGGTTCTTCCTTAAAGTTCCGCAGCTCTGGCGATCATGGTGGACAGGAGGAATGCTACCTTGAAAAGGAAAAAAAAAAAATCTCTTTTATTCTTTTGACCTTCCTGTAGCTTTCACTGAAAATAGACATGTTCCAAGTGTCTTTTTCCTCTCTCAGCTGCTCCCTCCTGTCGCCCCTAATGACTGTGACCTCAGTGACCTTCCAGAATATCCATATGGCCCTTTTTCTCCTCAACCCAGTAACACCGTACCTGCTACACGAGGGTTTGGATCTCAAAATATTTTTCCTGAGGCTGGCCTCTCGCTGCCTGGCATTGTCTGCCTGCCATGAGACCAGGCTGGCTCGTAAAACATCTCTTTATGTACTTTATTACTTAAACTCTTTTATTTGCCTGCAGGAGCCCTTTAACAAAATCACATTGAATTGACTTTCTCACACCAAATCAAATCTCCCTGGTCCCAGTTCAGTTGTCTTTGTCAATATGTATTTTATAAATGGAGTGAATTAACAGATGCTGTTGGAACAGAAGCGCTGGGCTGGCGTTTATGTTTTAGTGCTCTCTCTGGACAGGTGCGTTGTGAAGGCGCGTTAGACAGGTACCTCGAGATGAAAGTCATGCTCCTCGTTTCAGGGGATACGTATGCTTAGCCCTTTTCTTCGAATATATTTTAAACCTCTCAATGACTCTTCCACTGTTTGTGTTTGCTTATATGATTTATCAATATGCCATTATGCCATGAATCTAAGGTTGGACTTGATTAGATACCTTAGTCTGAAAAGATAAAAATTAAAGCCTCTCTAGCAAAGAGGAGAGGATTTGCTTCAGTCATGAGAACCTGATTGTGACCTTTGGAACACTCTGCCTATGTCTGTCATAAATGATACCCACGCAGCTTTTGGTAAGACACTCAGCTTGGAAATTCTTTGCAAATAGAATACGGAGTTGAAATGTCATAGAATCACACTTCAGTAGAGTGAATGACACCCACTGTTTGTGACATGAGGTGGGATTTGGGGAGATCACAATGAGAGAAACCCAGCACTGATATCCATGGTGTAAGGAATCACATTGAAAGAATATTTTCCAGGAAAATTTCTATATGGCATCAAGAATCTTCAAAATGTGCAATGTATAAATGTTGTAAAATACATTGCCAAGATTTGGGGAGCATTTTTACTTTACCCTTTTTCCTCAACTTTTTGGTGGCAGTCATAGAGCCACCTGCTGGTGAAGACAGGTACACATTGCTTCTCGCTCACGCCCTGCAGATTTTATAAATTGGTCCTAAGAATGACTAATCCCAAACCTTTGTTTTCATTCTTCTAGCCCTAAAATATAATCCTTTCCCTTCAAATGTGGCTCCCATGATCTACTTCAAAATGTCACAGTGATTTGTCACATTCCTGATTCTGATTTTCACCCTTGCAAAATTAGATTCTTGGTCCTTTAAAGAAAAAATAGAACACTTATTTTGCACATTGAATAATTAAGAAATAATTCAGGCCTATGTGTTTATAGCTGTTTCCTTTTTCAGTCCTGGACATTGTTAGATTGGGTAACACATTTGAAGTATTCTTAATAACTTGAGAAAAAAATTATTTCCTCCACTATTTTATCCTTTGTAGCCAATGCAAGGGAACTAACCCCCTGGCTATGTCCACTCTTTGCAAAGATAGTTCGTGTCATTTCATCTCAGAAGTAAACACCTCCCAGATCAGTGTGTTCAGTACCACTTTAATAACATCTGCATCTGATTCAAAGAAGCTCTTTACCTTTGTACAGATTTAATGAAGAGCTTCTGGAAGAACAGATCAATCCATGATCCACAACCTATTTTGTTTTTCTTTGAGCATATTTAAAATTGTGCATTTGCGTGTCAAAGTTCAGAAGTCAAGTGCTACATGTGATAAATTAGGTAGGGGTCAAAAGTTACTGCAGTGCAGTTTTAGAAGATTGTCTGTCTCTGAATTTGCAGCTCATTCATGCTGAAGTGATGCACTATGGGAATTACTACCAAACTCTGTGCCGCAACATCTGCTCTCCCTAAGTGAGTTAGTGCACGTCAGACATCTTTATGTCAGAATATTGCAGTGATGGATGCAGTCTTCAGAAAATGCTGCATAAAAATCTGGTGTGCCGTTCTGGCCATTAAGTGAAATTACTATTTAAATTAATGGCACTGTCACAGTTTATCTGTGCAAAGAATGAACGCTGATTAGGGTATTAAGTAATTAGCAATTTATCACACTGGAACAAGGTTGATAATAATTAAAGAAGTAATGGTTTACCAAAGAAACTAGAAAGGGAGTCACTTCTTGTTATGTGAGTGAAATCTTGGCTGAAAATTTTAATTCAGTGGAACAAAGATGAAGTTCTTTGTGAAAGAAAGCGTACCTTTTTGCTAGTGTAAAAACAGTTCATTACCGAAATTTTAGTCAAACTGTCAAAAGTCCCTTAGAGCAGTCCAATGGCTGATTAGAAGTTTTGAATTAGATCAATGTCTGCATTTTGATTTTATATGGAAAGCTTGGTGAAGCCATAAAGCCATTTGGGAGTGAAAGGGAAGAGTGTATCCTGCTCTCTAAAGGACCAGTTTTGATTGCTCCTTAAAAAAGAAACATGCATTAACTTAAGAAAACTGTTACAGAAAACAAATGGCAACAAAGAACCCGAGCTTGTATTTAAATAGCTTATCAGAAAAGCAAGAGAAAAATGCCTAACATCATAAAACCTGAAGCAATGGATTTTTTCTTTGTCATTTGTGATTGTGTATGATTTTTTACACATCATAATCAAAACTCATACTGCAGTGATAATCTGTGGTGTACCCCTGCTGGGTGTACTTATTTGAGAGAACTTTTCCTGCAAACATTGAAACACCTAAAATTTATTATTAATAAAGCACCAAAGAAAACAGCTTCCTTTTAAGCCTCTTACTTTGAACAATTACCTTGTTTAGGTATACATGGCATGTCAAAACTCAATTGTGATTAATGTATATCATGAATCATAAGTAAAAATTGTTAAATATTGGGAGCTTTTTATTTTTAAGTAGAAATATCAGTGACAGGGCTCTTTGAAGTCATGCGTGGATAAACATCTTTGTTAAAGCATGTGCCAACCAGTGTCTACTTTCAATGATTTAAAAAAAAAGCACTTAAAACTCAGTCTATTAATAGAGTGTCTTTCATAATGGAGGTGTTTGTACAGGACCAGATTAAACAATTCAGGACCCCAGGGCTCTCTGAAGTTGAGGTTCTTTATGTTATCAGTCAGGACTAATAATAAATAAACAAAATTCTAATTAAAATAAATCATTCATTGTATTGTGTTGCTTTATCACTGGATATAAATTCTCATATGATAGCACTGTGACATGGGGTACAGGCACCTTAATTTCTAGCCTAATCTGACTCTAGAGTATTGTTTATTGATTCAGGCTTTTATGTCTAAATTTCTGCTGTATCTCTTCTGTAGCACGATCTCAATGATTTGAACAGAGACAGTTAAGCTGGTTTTGATGGGAGAAAGGAGCCTGCTTGGCACCTTGTTCACATGGGTCATTGGGTCTTCCATCAACTCTGGAGATCAATGATCCTCCCTCCAAGGCTTTCTGCCACTGCCCCCAAACTCATGCCTATGTCTAGAAGAGAATGACCCAATGACTCACTCACCAGATCAGTGAGCATGTTCTATTGGTTTTGAAGACCTAATGTAGTTCATGAAGAAAGAATGGAACCTCAAGGAGCAACTGTTTGCATTCTAGAGAAAGCCAAGCAAAGATGGGCAAGACATCCTCCAGCACAGATTCACCAGTTCCAGGGTGCTGCTCCCCCACCACTCTGTCTGACCTCTTACCCAGGGGCTCGGGTGACCTTTCCTTCTTTGTGAATTTCTGGAGATTTCTTCTGAGTCCTTCCAGTGGTACTCTTCCTCCATCTGCAACCAAACATTTTCCTCACAAAAGGGCAGCAACCCTCGTGGCAAAGACCAAGTCTTATTTTAATGGCCACTTTAATTGGCCCACTGAGTGATTTTGGAGCATTTGCTCTTGTGAGTTCTATACCTAATTAGTGTTTGCTGCTCTTGGTAAGAAGGACCCCTCACTGCACATTTAAATCACCTTGGTAGACAAAGCCACCTTAGGTAGTGTACCATTTCAGCAACTGTCTGAGTCTGACATTTTTATACTGAACTTTATAGCAACCTCAGTTTTCTTCCCTTTTTTATTTCATATTCATATATAACATTTTATTGTTGCAGGGATGTTCTGTTGTGGGCAGGATTATGTGAATATGTCAGATACCATATGCTGCTCAGCTTCCAGTGGAGAGTCTAAAGCACATGTTAAAAAGAATGACCCAATGCCAGTAAAATGCTGTGAGACCGAGCTCATTCCAGAGAGCCAGAGATGCTGTAATGGAGTTGGATATAATCCTTTGAAATATGTTTGCTCTGACAAGATTTCAACTGGAATGATGATGAAGGTAATTGATAGAAAACCTCTCAGAAGCGCTGATTTGACAATGGAAAGAGAAATACATTGTTCATAACTATTTTTCTAAAATAGGAATATAAAAACTCCTGTGTGCATTATTCATTTTCACATTACATCCATATTAATACCGAATGAGTTTGCTATGATTGATGTTATTGCAATGAATTCTAAAGGAATTAATAATGATTAGCTGTTTTACCCAGCACCTCGGAACAGTGTAGGTTGAAGTCTGTGCAAAAAGAAGCAGCTGGTCTCCAGTGGTATAGACATGGTTCCATTTCATGTCTAGGGGTCCTATGAATGAAGATTAAGGGGACTTTGATAGAGACCTTACATCTAGGAGGTTCACTCAACTGTTGTGTTGACAGTGCAAGAAGAGCAGAGGCCTCTGTGAATCAAAGCACTCTGAATAGTCCTGTGGGTGTATCATTTGTCTTTATGTGCTGAGCTACTGTATGTCCAGTTTGTTAGCATCAAAACTGACCAGGAACTCCAGAAACCTACCATCTTAAGGACAGATTACAGACTCTCAAAAAACAAACACCGTACCATGCACCACAGTAATTTGTCATTAGGACTTGACTAAAAATGGGGGTTTGGCTTGTAGGTGATGGAAGGGCTTTTGCTGACTGAGGCAACTATATGATGGTTGTGTGAACATTCTAAAATTTGGGATATAAAATACCTCTGGAGCTTGTTAGGTCCCCAGCAAACACTCTGAAGAATTGATTTATTGAGATAATACATCAGATCATTGAAGAGAATAGGTTCTTCATGGAATAAACAATTATACAGAAGGTCCACCCTACCCACATAGTTATTTGTCTACTAAATTTTTGTCACTAGTCTGACTCATCACAGTTTTAATTAGACAATTGTATGAAAGAAATGTATCCAACGCTATGTTGCCAAAGTTTCCATTTTTTTCCAGATTATGTTAGTTTGAATCTTCCCAGTGTGCGGTAGTTGCCATCCGCTTTCTTTTAACTTTCTCTGTCCTTTATCATTTCACTGGGTCTTAAGAAGAGATGGATGAGTGGAAAATAGACTTTTGGTGATCAAAATGTAGTGGCACAAATGTTGAATTATAGTCCTCTACACCAATATCACCACAATAAAAATTTGCTAATAAAAATATGCTAATAAGCAAGAAAATAGGAGGAAATGAAGATAAATGCAGGTGTTCAATTCACCATCTTTAAATGAAAGTCCTAGAATTTTTTCTGAAGCATATTTATTTTTACCGACTTTGGTGAATAAATTATTTTATGTATGAGAGAGGTTGAATGTAGATCAATTTTAAATAGGATAATTATTTAAAATACATTATGCTATCTATATAGAGAGGAAAGGAAATGTAGAGTTCTGCATTTTAAAAATATTGCCTTATTTACATCTCCAATTTAGGGTGATTACATATTTCGTTTTCTGAGATTAGAACACACTTATGCTTGTCTAAAACAGCAATAAAAATTATCCAAAGATTCACCTGAGAAAAGTTTACAAATATAAATGATAATAATTACACTGAAAGTTCATAAATTATTTTAATTTTCTAAAGCTTGGATAAGAAATTCTTCTTAGAGTTTCCACCTTCTCAACAGCACAAGAAGTACAAATTCTCAAATGTTTCACATTCTTTATTTTCTCTAAAACTTGGTTAGCAAAGTGTCAAGGTAATAATATAAAATAACAACCTCTGTTGTTAGGCCATTCTAGGTTTTTTCTCATTTGATTCACACAACAAATCTGCCTGATAAATTTAATTTCCATCCTCTCAGAGCAAGCTGAGTCTTTGAGAGTTTAAGTGACTTGCTCAAGGTCACAGAACTAGTAAGTAGAAAAAGTGGATTTTGAATCCAAGTCTGTGTCACTTGAAAGTAACTGCTCTCTTTAGTATATTAACTGCCTTCATTTCTTTTTATGAATTTTGAGATTTCCTTTTCTGAATGTGGCAGATGAAAATTTCATTTGAAGGTTGTAAAAACCTACCCCACCTATGTCTAAATAAAAATTTATAACCCCCTCCTCCCTCTCCTAATTGACTTAGGAGACCAGAGTGCGTGGGACTGTCTGCTCAGCCTCTACGCCAGGCACAGAACACTGCAGCAGGTGCGGCTTCCACGTTACCAGCCACTTCTGTGCTATGAGAAGGGAGCCTGGAAATTCCACAGGGAAGGCGTCAATCGAAGAAATGTGCTCATCTGCCGAAGAGACTCTTTGTGCTGGAAGTGCAGACACGTTCTCCTTTGCAGGTAACAAAGTGAGCCACATGCCCATGGCTCCATTGTAATAGTGAAAAGCTGCAGAAAATGCAGATTGATTTCATTCTGACAGCATCGCTTTCTTCACCTACCCTCCATTAATTCCATCATAGCTGTGGGCCAGCTAGTGAAAGAGTCAATTTTTTCAAAGTTAGTCATTTAAGTTTTGTGAGTCTACCTTTAAATAAAGGTATGCTATTTTTAAATTGATCCGAGAAAACAGAGCAGAGAAATGAATAAGCTGTGTGTCCTTTATGGTATATCATCATTGGATTTTCAATGAACCCCACTCTTTCCCTCAAAAGTTTGAATGCGGGGGCGGAGCAACATGGCGGCGAGGAGACGCTGCGAGTAAGATCTCCCATTAAAAAAAGTGAATAGGGAGGAAAAGCGGCAGGTCCCAGTGAGAACTGGGACACGGAAGATAAACGGGTGACGCCAGCGAACTGCCCGAAGAAGAAACTGGCCATAAAAGAGGACTAGAAGGGAGGGAAGCGCAGAACCCTGCTCCCCTCCCCCGCCCACAGAGGCGGCACTCTCCGACCCCGCAGAGAGGAGGAAACAACAAACCAAAACGGCCCACAAGAACAAATGAGGCAGCAAGCGGGACTGGGAGCGGAAAGGAACTATTGCAGCCACCACACCCCGTGAACGGGAGCTGAGGCGAACCCTGCAGGATCCGCCGCGGCGGTGAGCGAACGGCTCCTGGCGCCATTAGAGAAGAACAAAGACCCCGGGAGACGTGCACACAGCCCGGGCTGCTGGTAAGCTGGCGCGGAAACGCGGAGTGCTCGGCGCGCTTGAAAAGCAAGTGCAGACCTGGATCACGGCTGCCCAGGTCCCCGCGCCTGTGACCTAGGCTTGCGGGGAGACTACCTAGGCTTGCGGGGAGACGCGCGGAGGTCCTCACTGAGGTGAAGGTCCCTCCCTGAGTAAGCAGGATCCAGGCGCCCAGGCATGGGAGCGGTGCAAAAGGCGCCATTCCCGCGCCACTGAACTGGGCTACAGCCCACGTCCTGGAACTGAGGGCTTTGAACTGAGACCCGGGGCACGAAAATTCGGGGCGTGGTTTCTCCACGACGGTGGGGCACAAGGCAGACACAGCACCCCAAAGCTGTTGAGGTGTACCCTACCATTCCCGCTCTGTTCTCTGTCCCACGGGGTGGGGGGAGGCGAAAACCAGCCCCCCAAGGACAATAGGAGAGATCTCTGGCGCCACCTAGCGACCAGGAAAAAAAAAAGTCACTAACACCCTATAAAACAGGACATTTCTTAAGACTGCTTGAAAAGGGCAGAAGGTTTCTGGAGGACCCAGTGGCCAGCCGGGAAGTTATTCCACGCCAGGCCCCTTCCGACCAGCAGTCTGAGCCCACAGAGGGAGCAGGCACCCACGTCCGGGGCAGACCGGGTGCGCAGAAGAGTGTGCCTGAAACCGGAGGCGCAGGGACTGCATCCCGCTTCGCCATTTGAGAACAGGGACATTTCTTCAGTAAAAACTGCCTAAAACCAGCAGAAAGCTCCCCCAGAAGACAGAGATGGCTCCTGGAAGAACCAGAGGGAGCGGAGAAGTTCACCCAAGATGTCAGTCAGTCCGAGCAACACAGTGTCCCAACGCATACGACAAATTAGAAAACAGACAGTAGGGAGTAGAAGAACCACACGCAACCTAAAAACTCCTCAGGAAAGAAGCACACCACAAAAAGAAAACCACTCCCCAGATTGCAACGACAGCAACTTGGAAGAACTTCTGAGCCTTCCAGAAAGAGAATTTAAAATTGCCATGATTAAAAAAGTGATAGATCAGAAGAAGGAAATTGAGTCCCTAAAGAGGGAAGTAAGAGAAATGCAGGAGATCAAAGAATTAATGGAGGAACTAAAGAACTCTGGGAAAAGCAATGAAAGCAGAATAGATGAAATGGAAGAACGAATAAGTAATCTTGAAGACACAGAAATAAAAAGAACCAAAACAGAAAAGGAAAGAGAAGTACGAAGGAAAAAGAATGAAGAAAGACTTCGGGAACTATCTGACTCCATGAGGAAAGGAAATATAAGAGTTATAGGAATTCCAGAAGGAGAGGAGAGAGATGTAGGAACAGAGAAAATATTCATGGATATAATTGAAGAGAACTTCCCAAATGAGAAGAAGGAGCTGAAAATTGATATACAAGAAGCAAGAAGAACACCAAACTTCCACGACGAAAGGAAAAACACAGCAAGACACATAATAGTAAAGCTCCCAAGAATCCAGGACAAGGAAAAAATAATGAAGCTGACAAGAGGGAAGAAACAGATAACATTCAAAGGAAAACCAATCAGGCTGACATCAGACTTCTCTGAAGAAACACTACGGGCAAGGAGAGAGTGGAGGGACATAGTCAACAGACTCCAAGAAAACAGATGCCAACCAAGAATACTCTATCCCGCAAAGCTCTCTTTCCTCCATGAAGAAAGAATATGGACCTTCCCAGACAAAGAGAAACTCCGGAATTTCATTGCGACTAAACCCCCACTCCAAAAAATACTACAAGGAATCCTAAAGCCAGAACCTCAGAGGGACGAATAACAACGAAAGAAGACCAAAAAAAAAAAAAAAGTTATTAAAAGAATAAATAAATAAAATCAAAGGAAAGACAAACATAATGGCAAATACAGATGCTAACATATCAATATTAACTCTAAATGTAAATGGACTAAACTCTTCAATAAAAAGACACAGAGTTGCAGCCTGGATTAAGAAACAAAACCCAACCTTTTGCTGTCTCCAGGAAACACATTTAGCTACAAAAGATAAAAATAGGCTCAAAGTCAAAGGATGGAAAACAATCCTACAAGCAAATGGGCCAAAAAAGAAAGCAGGAACAGCTATACTTATATCAGATAAAACAGACTTCAAACTCAAAAAAATAAAAAGAGACCCCAATGGTCACTACATTATGATTAAGGGGACAATACTTCAAGAAGAAATAACACTCATTAACATATACTCACCAAACGAAAGAGCACCAAAATATATCAGACAACTGTTGTCCTCTCTGAAAACAGACATCAGAGAAAACACATATGTAGTGGGAGACTTCAACACACCACTATCAACAATGGATAGATCAACAAGACAAAAAATAAGTAAAGAAACTAAAGCTCTAAATAAGGACCTAGAGCATTTGGGCTTAACAGACATCTATAGAACACTAAACCCCAAAAAAACGGAGTACACATTTTTCTCAAGCGCACACGGATCATTCTCCAGGATCGATCACATACTGGGGCACAAGACAAACATCAACAGATACACCAAGATTGAAATCATACCAACCATCTTTTCTGACCACGAAGGCATCAAACTAGAAATAAATCATAAAAAGAAGGCAAGGAACTATCCTACCTCATGGAGATTAAAAGCCACACTACTGGAAGACCACTGGACTAACGAGGAGATCAAAGAAGAAATTAAAAAATTCTTTGAATTGAATGACAAGGAGGACACCAATATCCTAAATGTATGGGATGCAGCAAAAGCAGTAATAAGAGGAAAATATATAGCAATAGAAGCTCACATCAAAAAACAAGAAAGAACTCAAAGAAACAACCTAATCTCGAAGCTCAAAGATCTAGAAAAAGAACAACAAAAAACCCCAGAACCAGTAGAAGAAAAGAAATAATAAAAACCAAAGCAGAAATAAATGAAATTGAAACTAAAAAAACAATCCAAAAGATCAATGAAACCAAGAGCTGGTTCTTTGAAAAAATAAATAAAATAGACAAACCCCTAGCCAGGCTCACAAAGGAAAAAAGGGAGAAAGCACAAATACACAGAATCATAAATGAAAGAGGAGAAATCACAACGGACACAGCAGAAATCAAAAGAATAATCAGTAACTACTATGAACAGTTATATGGAAACAAGTTCAACAATCTAGAGGAGATGGACAAATTCCTACAACTCTACAATCACCCAAAGCTAGATAAAGAAGAAATAGAACACCTAAACAGACCAATTACAAGCAGCGAAATTGAAATGGTATTAAAAACCTCCCCAAAAACAAAAGCCCAGGACCTGATGGATTTACAAATGAATTCTACCAAACATTCAGAGACGAATTAGTGCCTATCCTTCACAAACTCTTCCAAAAAATTGAGAAGGAAGGGACAATACCAAACACGTTCTATGAAGCCAATATTACACTAATACCAAAACCGAATAAGGACAACACAAAAAAGGAAAACTATAGGCCAATCTCCCTAATGAACACTGATGCAAAAATCCTCAATAAAATTTTAGCTATCAGAATCCAACAATGTATCCATAAGATAATTCACCACGACCAAGTTGGATTCATTCCAGGGGCACAAGGATGGTTTAACATCCGAAAATCAATCAACGTTATCCAACACATCAACAAAAAGAAATATAAAAACCATATGATAATATCAATAGATGCTGAGAAAGCTTTCGACAAAGTGCAACACCCATTCATGATAAAAGCCCTTGAAATTCTTGGGATACAAGGAACATACCTCAACATCATAAAGGCCATCTATGACAAGCCAACAGCCAGTATCATTCTCAATGGTGAAAAGCTGAAAGCAATTCCATTAAGATCTGGAACAAGACAAGGATGTCCACTCTCACCACTGCTTTTCAATATAATACTGGAAGTCCTAGCCAGAGCAATAAGACAAGAGAAAGACATCCAAGGAATCCAAATAGGAAAGAAGAAGTCAAACTATCACTATTTGCAGATGATATGATAATATACATAGAGAACCCCAAAATCTCCACAGAAAAACTAATTCAACTCATCAATCAATTCAGTAAAGTGGCAGGATACAAAATCAACACGCAAAAGTCAGTGCCTTCCTATACACAAACAATAAATCTGAAGAAGAAGAAATCAAAAAAACCACCCCTTTTATTATCAAAACAAAAAAAATCAAATATTTGGGAATAAATCTAACAAAAGAGGTAAAGGACCTATACAAAGAAAACTATAAAACACTGTTAAAAGAAATAGAAGAAGACACAAAGAAATGGAAAGACATCCCCTGCTCATGGATTGGAAGAATAAACATTATTAAAATGGCCATCCTACCAAAAGCAATATACAGATTCAATGCTATTCCAATCAAAATCTCAATGGCATTCTTCAAAGAAATAGAACAATTATTGATGAAATTCATATGGAATCACCAAAAACCCCGAATAGCCAAAGCTCTACTGAAAAAAAAGAAGGAAATGGAGGCATCACACTCCCAGACTTCAAACTATACTACAAAGCCATAATCATCAAAACTGCATGGTATTGGAACAAGAACAGACATACAGACCAATGGAATCGAATAGAAAATCCAGAAATAAACCCACAGATTTATGGTCAACTAATCTTTGACAAAGGAGCAAAGACTATGCATTGGAGCAAAGAAAGTTTGTTCAATAAATGGTGCTGGGAAAACTGGGTCGCTACATGCAAAAGAATGAAGCTTGACCACTACCTCACACCATACACAAAAATCAACTCAAAATGGATTAAAGAACTAGACATAAGACCTGAAACCATAAAATACATAGAAGGAAATATAGGCGAAACACTACGGGATTTGCACATCAAAGACATCTTTACAGACACATCACCCAAAGCAGTGATAGTGAAGAGAAAGATAAACAGCTGGACTACATCAAATTAAAGAGCTTCTGCACAGCAAAAGAGACAATAACAAAAACAAAGAGAAACCCCACCAACTGGGAGAACATTTTTGCACCCAACACTAATGATAAAGGACTGATCACAAAAATCTGCAAAGAGCTGATGAGACTCAGCAACAACAAAGAAAATAATCCAGTCAAAAAATGGGCAGAAGAGCTAAAAAGAAACTTCTCTGAAGAGGAAATGCAAATGGCCAACAGACATATGAAAAAATGTTCAACATCACTTGTAATCAGGGAAATGCAAATCAAAACTACCATGAGATACCATCTCACACCAGTGAGAATGGCACATATTAAAAAACTAGCAACAACAAATGTTGCGAGGATGTGGAGAAAAAGGAACTCTTGTGCACTGTTGGTGGGAGTGCAAACTGGTCCAACCACTATGGAGAGCTGTGTGGAGATTTCTGGACCTACTAAACATAGAGCTTCCATATGATCCAGCAATTCCACTCCTAGGTATTTACCCAAAGGACACAGAAACATCAATTCCAAAGAGCACCTGCACTCCTATGTTTATAGCAGCACTGTTTACAATAGCTAAGCTTTGGAAACAACCCAAATGCCCAAAAATAGATGACTGGATCAAGAAGATGTGGTACATATATACCATGGAATATTACTCAGCATTCAAAAAAGATAAACACATGCAATTTGCAGCAACATGGATGGCACTGGAAGGGATCATGCTCAGCGAAATAAGCCAAAAAGAAAAAGAAAAATACCGGATGGTCTCACTCATAGCAGGGATCTAGAAAACTTAAATAAGGGACCAGGAAAATGAATATAAGAAAGTGAAAATCAAAATCAACAAAAAAACCAGAGACACTTTTTGGGGGGTGGGGGGGGCGGGAGGGAAGGATTGGGGTCAGAATGGGGCGTTTGCAATTGTATGGGGGAATATAAAAATAAAAATTTAATATTTAAAAAAAAAAAAAAAAAAAAAAAAAAAAAAAAAGTTTGAATGCAGGCTCTTAATAAATGCATTGAATGAGTGTTGCCATATTGCATACAGAAAAAAATGAAAAATCCTGTCTGTGGCCATACCTAGCTGCAACAAAGACTGGGAAATGTACTGTTTAACCAGGAAATCCCTGAGCAGGACACAAGGGAGATCTGGGGACACACTGATACTGTCTTACCTGAGAAAACAGAGATTGAATATAAGCTTTTGGATTTCTATAATAATTTATATTTTGACAGGATAGTACTCCCCCCTCAGGTAGAGCCCTCCCAGCAGCAAGGCACCCAGAACCTTCCACCAGCATTGATTGTGCTCTCTCTTCTCCTCCTCATCTGAAAGCCACAGATCCATGGTCCATTTTCAAGGCAGGTTTTGAAGTTTGTCTTTGTTTTATCCTTTGTTTTTTTCTTACGCCACCTAAAAGTGACACCATCTACTTAAATGTTTAAGATTTGATATTCATTTTCAATATAATGATTTAAAAAACTTTTTTTTAACCCTTACTGCTTGATTTCTCTTTCCAGATGTGAACCTGGAGCCCTACACAACATATGAGTATAGCGTCTCTGTGTGGAATAGCCATGGACAAGGGCTTAGCAAAGCCATAAGGGCCAGCACAAAAGAAGAAATGCCTCAGGGAGTGAGCCCCCCCTGGAAGACCAAAGTGAATAATTGTGAAGATGCAATAGTGATAAATTGGAGGAAACCTATACGATCAAAGGGTATTAAGCTACTTTTAAAATAGAAATAACATAACCCATAAATCCATAAGAAAATTGAAATGAGTCACAACCAGCATTTAATTGGCATGCATCATCTAACCACTAAAAATTATTTTCTGACAAAGGGAACTTTAGCTATATGCCAAATGATCATTTTGTGAAATAGCTCTCATACGCTTTTAGCAAAAAAAAAAAAAAAAAAATCCAGCATATGTCTGAGTTCCCTTCATATAAGCAAAGCTAGTTAAGGGAAGACAAAATACTTTTAATATTGGAAGTAAGTTTGTTTGGGAATGAAGGGAAATAAACATAAATGACTCTTTGATTATCTATGTCAAGAATGCAAGAATGCATCTTCTCCATAGAGTGACTGTAATTAAGATTTCCTTGAACACAGCAATATAATAGCAAATTAAAATCAAATTATGGCATTTTACCCCATTTCCTTAGAATGCTTAGAGTTAAAAGTTGTTCGCAAATAATTCAGAGGATTGTGACACACAAATATGGACATTTATTTGCCTCTTTCAGGTCCTGTTATTTACTATATTCTTCTCCGAAATGGAATCAAATGTTACCGCGGGACATCACTGAGCTTCTCTGATACAAAGAGAATTCAGTCTTCTCAGGAATATTCATACCAGCTGAAAACTTGCATAGTTGTTGGCTGTGCCACCAACAGCAAGGTAAGGGAGATTTGCCCAAACTCTGGACAGACGTTCCTGCATGAAAACCATATGAATATCTGGGCTGTGAGTGATTTGTCCAATGACAGAAAGGTACTCATGTGTCATCTCTACTGAGAACAGATATGCCTGAAAAGAGATGTCATGGGAAGGGAGATTCCTCCAAATATCAAATCTTCTTAATAAGTAAAAAGAAAACTTGAATCAATATTATCCTTCCCTTTACAATTCTCCCCTATCAATTGTTATTAGATAATCTTCTACAAATCCATAATAATCCCCAAGTTCTTCCTTGCTTTAAGAGAGTTTCTACTTATCTATCATTTCAACAAACGTTGCCTGATCTTGGGAAACAGAAAAGGACAAAAGAACCTGACATGGAAAGTAAAGTGGTATCACATCTTCTACAACTGTTTGGCGGAAGTGGTGAAACTTCAACACAGGCAACAGGAGTCAGAGTGGAAAATAAAGATTGGAAAGATGCAACAGATATGCATGGAAGCTGCAGGACTCAGTGCTCAGCTGCATATAACAAATGAAAGTGTCATGGGTATTTTCAAGATGCCTGACCTGAGCATTTTATAGATCATGGTGCCATTCTGTAAGAGAAAAGTAAAAAATAAGCAAAAAAAAGAAAAGTAAAAAATAAGGAAAAAAAGATACTATATAAATATACTTTTTTTTAAGGAGGAGATAGATAGCACACAGAGAGGTAGAAGAAAGTGCTTTTTGACTCTTGAACTGAAAATGTCCAGCAGAAGCTGCATAAGAAGTGACTGGAATTTGGTAGAAATTTCTAGGAGGGAGTATAAGCAAGGAGTTTGAATATGGTCATCAAAGGAGAATAGAGAGAGTAAAATAAGGGACCATCAGTGATGAGCGCTGGGGAGCAGTACTAGATGGAAAAAGGCAAGCCCAGGAGAATGATTAGGAGGACAATGGAATAATTTTAGAGGGAAATGGAGGAGTCCTTTCACAGAAGCCAACCCAGTCGTGAGGAAACCCAGGAGAAACACCCACAACTGACAGCTCTGGTTCTTGGGATCTTGCTGAAGCTCAGGAGAGCAGCCCCATCACTGTGGAAGAATCTTGGGCCAGGTGATGGGGCACAGGGCATGAGCAACACCCCGAGAAGCATCCCCTAAGCTGTCACCGTTGAGACAGATGGCCCCTGACCAGCTCATCAGAACTGATGGGTGACTGGTGCTGGAACAGCCTTGTGCTTTCTGCTCAGACACAGCTCAAACTCACCAGATACCCATGTTTGGTGAAAAGCAGAAATGTGAGTCAATTCTGTCAAAAAAAAAATAAAATCAGAAGCCCATTCCTTTCCAAAATTCTGTTCTTGTGTTTTCCCTTCTCACATGGTTCATTTTCTGGAATGTTGATGCCAACACTGTAAAGTCAGCTGGAGTGTCTCAGGAAAAGTGCAGGAGACTCTGCCCCTTTATACTGTTGAATGTGCATTATATGCAAGCCAGTTCAGACGTGGGTTTTGCTCCATATTTACTGGTGCTTAAAATGTACCAAATCAGGCTGTTAAAATGCAAAGACACTGATGGGGCCATATGGAAGAGAGTTATCAAGAGTTCTCTAGTAAGACAGTCTGCCAGCCAGATTTTACTTGTTTAAACCGAGGGCTGCTCTCTGCCGTCAAAATCGTTGTTGAACCTATTGTGATGAATGGTAGGCTGAGACTTATGTAATGTATTCAAGGTCAGATTTCATTGTTCGAATAGCATGGGAGGGAAAGAAAAAAGCCCCTGAGCTCTGCTAATGATACGCCAAGCCAGACAACAACATTTTAAAACAAAAGTGACAATCTTGTGGCTCAGAATACCTAGTGTACGATTACATCAAATCACTGTTTTCATTCCTGTGTTTGCAGGTAGTGGCAGCTACCAGCCCAGGGGTTCCACAGAGCATCCTGCCCCCAAGGGTCACAGCCCCCAAGGCGGAGCCCCTGCCTCTGAGCTGGAGCATCCCTGAGAAGCCCAGCGGCGGCGTTACTGAGCACCTGCTCAGGCAGGCAGGGAAAGGGCTCCTCCACACCAACACCACACAGGGGAGGCAGCACACGGTCACAGGTGAGGAAAAAAGGAGGAAAACCTCCCGGAAGAGTCTGTTGTTGTTGGGGGGATGGCAAAGCCTCCCGGGGGTGTGCGTTTGATACATGAGGTCACATCGAAAGGACGTGTTCTCTTGACATATGGTCAGGTTCCACTTATCCATGCTAATAGAAGAGCCCACACTGGCAGCAATAAGCCACAACAGCAGATAACTTCAGAAATAATTTATATTTGGCTTTGATATGCATTATGTGTAGGGTTTTTGCATCAGTATTAACTTTTTTTTTTTTCAGACAAACAGTAAGATGCATTTTCATTCCCCAAGGATACACTCATAGATAATAGGAGTAGACTAGCCAAGAATATACTGGAAGGCAGGGGAAAATCAGCCAGAAGCTAACATTTATCTATCAAGTGGGTAATTAATACGCAGAATAGTTGATAGTTGACTGGCTATGGTAATTGGTGGTGTTATTATTATTAACAGTAATTAATTGTGCATTTTTATTATTATAAGGTTGTTTATTATAATCAATTTTAATAATACAGAGATAAACCAGTATAATAGTATGTTAGGTAAACATTAGCAGTGATTAAATAATAATTAATCTGTTTGAGCTTAAATGTCACTTCTGAAAAGAAGAAAAGCATTTCCTGACTTAGCAGTAGAGAGACTTCTCTAACACACTGCCTTTTCACCTTCTTTTATTTCCATCTTAGACCTCTCATATTCTGATATTTTCAGTATTTGTTGTTTGTCTTGCCAAGTCTACCCTGCTGGAATGGAAGCAGCAGGATTACAGACCTTCTCTGCCTCATTCAATTCTCTATCACTAGCACCTAGATAGGCCTTGACACATCAGGAGGTACTAAATAAATGTTTGGAAAATGAATAGAGTAGGTATGTGCCAAACAAGTCCAAAGTATGAGGCTTATAGTGTGTCATTTCAGTCTTATCACATACCTATGAGGTAGAGAGAATTATTACTCCCACCTATGAGGTAGAGAGAATTATTACTCCCATTTTACAGAAAAGAATACTTGGAGAAATTTAATAACTAGTTACTAATTTGGGCCCAGGAATCATCTCAAACCATTATGTATTTTGAGATTTGAGACCACAGGCAAGGGTTTAGAAACTTCTGCTTGTTCCTATTGCCAGCAACCTATCTCCAAGGCCTCTTGAGCTGATGCCCTGGTCCCCTTGGGCCCAAGTCCAGAGGCGCATTAATACCAGAAAGACTTGCTAGAGTGTGCCTGATATTTCTTTAGAGGAGGCTCAAGCTGTGCAGCACAGTGGAAAAATAAATTCATCTTGATATTCTCTTAAACTTCATAATTCCCTGGCACACAAACAAACATTCACTGACAGTCCACTGCTTTCCAAAAGTGCCATAAGCCTGCAGATGGTGCTTAAGAAATATTTACAGACCAGCACATGCATTCCTTATCTGGAGGTCTGGAACTAAACAGAGAATAAAGGGGATGAGGAAAGTCCTCATCAATTCAGATGATCAAATTTGTTCCTTACAGCTTTTAAACCTAAAGTGAAAATCATCACAAGTGATTGAAGTAACATAGTTTTACATAATAAAACTTCACGTTTATATAGTGCTTTACAATTTTAAAGATCCAATTGTGTTTTGACTCAATTGATTATGAGACACAGCCCTGTAAGACAAGTAAGGGTGTCTTTAATGCCCATATTTGACAAATTTAAAGGAAAACTGACATATGCAGAGTGTCCCCTTATGACTCACCCAGCCGTAAGGAAGTCAGAGCACTTTTCATTACGACAAAATGTGTGTTCCTACTGGCTATGCGTTGGACAGCTTTCCAAGTATCCTAAAATAAAATTGCTCCTCTTAAGAATCTCCCAGGAAAAGGAAATGTCAGGGTACAGGAGAAAATCCCCTCCTTTTGGGGTCCTTTTATGGCTTCCAAGTCATCAAAACATCATCAGACAGGTTACCAAATGAAAAATCTATTTAGTAACAGATCTATGGAGAATTTACCTGGTTGTAAATTCTAAAGAACAATGGAGCAGACTGGGCATAGTTATCCTGTGTTTTAGAGACCTGGGGCATCATGGGGCCAGAGGGAGAGTCCATTACATGATAAACAAGGAGAGGATGATCTCAGATGAGCTTCTCAGATAAAAAGGTCATGTTCCTTATAAATCTACACCTGGATGAGACTCTTCCCCAATACTACATTCTTCTAGATCATAAAAGGGGGAGCAATGATTACTACTTTGATTAGGAAAAGGATCCAAGGACAACAAACTCCTAGGAACTTCACTACCCTTAAAATAATCCTTATGCTTTAAGGAATGGTGACAGTGATAGACTTGCGGTCTCAATTTACCTTTGGTTCACACCAAGGTGATACTTTCTGGAAGAGGCCTCCTCTGAGCATATTGAGAAAAATCTAGCTGACTCTTGGGGAGACCAGGCCCACAGCAATACTGACAACCTAAGGAAAAGTTGCAAATACAGGGTGATTGGTGCTACAACTGAACTCTGTGCAGGACACGGCAGGCAGATGTCACGAAAGTTGTGTGGAGTAGACAGTGGAATATCATTAGACTTCTGGAGTTCAAGCAAAGGCACATTAAGATTTTGTACCAGGAAAGGTTGCACAATAAACTGGTACACAGGAATGAGGAATTGTTTTCTTTTCACAATATTTATCTGTTTAACCAGCCTTGGCTTTGAACTCTTGCTGCTTGGCATTTTTCAGAAACCAGCACTGAAATGCCAGCAGACTATATTCAATTGTGGTTTCTAAGCCAACAGAACTGATAGCTTCCTTAGTGTAATCATAATACAATTGCCAAGATTTTTCTTTACATCCCTTCACTCTACCTCTTCTTCCTTTCGTTGTCATTCTTAATGGATATTTTTTTCATGTTGGAGAAGATTTCATTCATATAACTTGATGCCAGCAATCCTCATGTATAAAAATCAATTTTTATCAAGTTTTCCATGTAATTTTACTTTTTAACAAGTTCATAAAATGGAACTACATCTTCAGAATTCATTTGGTCTCTCTGTCAGTACAGTTTTACGTAGACCTAGAGAATGTTTCACTTGGACTTCTATCCTTGAAGAGAGGTTTCTTGTTAAAGGGGGAAATAAGGCCTCCTTCAGAAAAACCTCACAGGTACAGAGTCTCTGAGTGTGATTTCCAGGCTCTGCCATCATCAGCAACCTGTTCACGAGTTTCGTCTGCCAGGGGAAAGTCACTTCCATGCTTAGATAACTGGCCACATTCAGTACTCAATGATGGGAATAACTATTCTATTGAGCTCATGGAATGAACAAAAACAATCAAATTTACTTCACATTCCATCTCAAATGTTGGGTTGAAAAGCTCCCTGAACCTCCTGAGGTAAAAAGTTTTGATTTTCTCTTCATTTCCCAATCCCTGGCATTCCCCGAGTACCCAGGGAGTGCTAATGAAACCGGAGTACCAGTCATCCCTGAGCCTAGAAATGTAGGTCCTCGGCAATGACAGAAGGGAAGCCAGCACCTTGCCTCAGCCCCATTGTCTCTGTGCTTATTTTTAATTACCTCAAAGCTTTAGAAACATGATCCTGTAAATGCTTTGTGGGAATAGTGGCGAATGCACTCATGATGTGAAATCCATAAATTGCTTATAATCCTCTCAAGATGTTAAAAAAAGCATTAAGTAATTGAAGACAGGAAGTCCTCAGTTAATTATTTAGAGGTGTTATCAATGCTTTAAGTAAACTGAAGCATTCTCTGCTATCTCACTGAGCCGAATACCACGGGGACACAGGACGAGCTGCCATCATCTTCTCATATTCGCTAATGCAAACAGCGCATGGCAGCTTGTCAATAAAAGACCTCTTCCTGTCGCTTATTACTAAACATGGCCACCTACCCACACAGAACAATGGAGATGGCAGTGGTGGCATTGTTTCATTTTTGGTGACCACCACCTTCTACATCAGCCTCCTAACGTGGGCCCTGGGGTGGAGGATTAACTCCATCAGGAGGGCCACCAAGAGCAAAATGAATTGAGCAAGGCCTCTCTAGCAGTTCAGATAAGGGCTGAGTTGTCTTCACTCTCGAGGAGGTATTTTCAAAATAATTCATGAAAAATTGTTCATGGTTGCATTTTACAAGGGAAGGCCTGCCAGCGTTAAGTTAGCAAGGAGAGAAGAATCGGCCTCCTTTCCACTGTTCTTAGAAGCTCCTGAAAACCTTCTGTGCTAAAATAGCACAAGCCCTAGCAGTGCAGGCTGGAGCTGAAAATGTGCTGAAACAGATAGATGGTCTACGTGTCCCTTTTGATAAAAAAGAGAATGTAGTTTGACCACTAATATCACAAAATGTGATTTCTTTATAAAGGAATTGCTTTGTACAATTTTCTTTATAATTATTTAAAAAAATTACTTTTAAAGGAATTTTATGTTTTGATAACTCTGTGTCCCCAGAAGATCCTGCACTTGCTCTTCTGGCAATTATACTTTATGGCAATGTTCTTTTTCCTCATCTCTGTTCTTTATTAGTAAGTAAAGCTTTTTAAGGGCAGAGACAATGCTTCCTGTTTGCCGTTGTATCTCCTATTCTGCGATAGGGATTGCAGTTCTTAAGAATTATTGTGTTCAAAATTATTCATGAAATTAATAAACAGCAAATGAGTATCTGAATGATTATATCTATGTCAGTTGGATATAAAAACCACATTGTTAAATACACCTGAATCAGTCTCAGACAGGATGGGTTACATATATGGAAGGGCCTAGAACAAAATGAAAATATGGGGATCCTAGCTCAGAAATCATTCAGAATTTCAAGACAGTGAGGGCAGAACTTTGAGTCAAGCCCAGAGCCTCTACCCTGGGGCCTTGGGTGACAGCTCAGGTTGACCCCAGGAAGCCATCCTGACCTCTGGCCATATGGATTTATTGGCAGTATATTTCTTTAATTGAAGCAGACAGAAAGAAAACTGGAAGAACAGGATAGCAAGCGCAACCTCGGAACAGC